ACTCAAAACCATTCACTGTTGCTGAAAAACCAAACTTTGCCCACAGACATCACACACAAGGCCTCAAAAACACACACACTACAACATAGTCTTACACATTGGTGCAATAAATTAAACACAATACTTCCAAAACTGGTAAGTTATGTTGCTTGTGGTTCTTCCCCTCAAAAACCTTTTCACATGAACACAAAAGACGCAGCCAATGTATATACAGTGGCACATTTTTATTCATGTACTATACAGTACAACACACACCAAAAACATTATTCCACCTCAGCATCCTGTCTTTGGTCTGGGTCAGGCCAGAGAATCTCATCCACATCACAGGCTATATTGGCCCTAGCCAGGCAGCGGGGGTAAAATCCTCATGCATACCTGATCCACCCCTGGCATGCATCTACTGATATGTCTAGGCAGGCTTCTTCCATGGCCTGGAGGAGGTGAACATGGACATAAGGTTCTCTGTCGTACACTTTCCACCGCCATGCCGAAAATAACTCCTCTATCGGCTTTAGAAAGGGAGAGTATGCAGGCAGAAAGGTGTTAGAAAACCTTGGGTTATTGGTAAACCAGTCATGAACCAGAGCAGCGCGATGGAAGCTGACGTTATCCCAAACAACAACGTAGTGAGGCTGCTCTGGCTGTGCTGGTTCCCTGTAGTCCAGCTGGAACATATGTTGTCTTAGACCATCAAGAAAAACAAGGAGAAACATAGTGTTATAGGGTCTTAGAATGGCATGGCGGTGGAGTACCCCTCGTTGGCTGATGGCTGCGCACATAGTGAGATTCCCTCCACGCTGACCAGGGACATTTACAATAGCCCGATGGCCAATTATGTTCCTCCCCCTTCTCCTCCTCAACCTCTTCCTTTGCATCTCTTTGGATCCATTGTTTCAAACCTGAATGAGCTGACTTTGGCCCTTTTATCTATCCATCAAAGTTTCTTATTGGTGTGTTGTGTGCTAATTGAGCTCAAGCTGTGCTGACTTTACAGCAGGGGAATAGTGTTTATAGTTCAGGGAAATGGGTGTGCTTTTTGAAAAATAGCACTATGGTTTTGAAATTTTAGTTCAAAAGATTGGTTATAGTATTTTGGCAACTGTAATTAATTTATGATTATTCAAAGCTATTAATGTCTCAACTAAGGATCGATCATATTGTACCTATAAGCTTTGCTGTCATTGCAGCTTCAAACATAAATGACAAGTGACACTATCAGCTGTGTCCATGTGAGGGAGCCACAGGCCACATTCTGTGCAGTGAAGCCCCAGAACCACACAGAGCAGCCTGGGTCTGATCTGGAATAACCAGGGTGTTTGGCTTAACTGGGCAATATGCATTTGAGCAGAACAGAGATTCAGCACCAGACTGAAAAATCAATGCTGATAATAATCAGAATGTAAAAAAATCATGTCTTTGTTTTTTTTACCAAACACTATCTCGAATAATTACCTAAACTACAGCACATATATAATGTATAAGACAACAAAGAATAATAACTTAGAAATTAATGTACTCTTGGCATTGAAAATAACTTCTCCAGTATCGTCTATGGCAAACAGACTTACTATGACATCATGGAGGGTGAACTTTTGGTTGCTGTTGGCTGGAGTTCTCAGAATCAGTATAAGATGCTACAGTGAAAAACCATAAATAAAGTCACAGTTTAGTTATATTCTACACAGTCATACTAAAGGACTGCAGGCAATTTATTCAAGGTGATATTTCCACTTAAATCAATTTTAAATTTAAATGCTCCTTATACATATATTCAGTCTTGGCAACAGCGATACAGGGTAACAATACTCACTGCCGGCTTTCCCATAGCCTGAAACACAGAGGGACACAGAGTCAGACACAGGCACTCAGACTCTGTGCATCATTCGGGTGTCAGAGGCCCCAGTATAATGACTGTGTGCAGTTACATGCTTTGAAACATGTCACTTGTGGTTCAGTTGGACGCCATTGTTGTCTGTGTCTGTCGGCTTTTCTGTTACCTGTCCTGCTCCTCCTCCACAACACGACCCCAACGACAACAGCAACGAGAGCCAGAGCAGCAGCCACACAGCCGATGATGATGCCCCAGGGAAGGCCTCCTAAAATAAGGTTAAAGCACCATGTTCACCCCTGACAGTGACGCCCATTAGCTGCTCTCTCTCATTACTGTGTCGCTGCTCCTCTTACCCTGATTGGTCCTTATGTTCTTCTCCTCCAGCAGCACAGGAAGATCTTTCTGTGAGTGCTGCACAACACAGCTGTAGCTGTTCCTCTTCCAGTCCTCAGGCTTCACCATGAGTTTCGATGTGATCTGGAATGTTCCGTCCCCGTTTGGCAGGGTCTCCCCCACCTCCACATCGCTGTGCATGTCCACTCCATCTTTCCTCCAGGTCACCACGATCCCTTTGGGGAAGAAGCCGGTTGCGTGGCAGATGACAGGAGAGGAGGGGTCCTTCTGCAGCAGAGACACCTCAGGGCGGACTTGGGAAGAAAGACAAAAACATCCATAAATAAAACGCTACACTTCATCACCAGCAATCCCTCCTGTAAATACATAATGTGATTAATATTCTACACATTGTAGCTATAAGCCTGCATCAGGACAGGGACTGTATTTCTTATTGTTTCTGTCAGGAAGATGTTAATGATCTACTATCATGTAAACTTGGTTCCAACAATTTTACAATCAGCTTTGACTGTAAGTGAAGAAACAGGCTGATCAATGTTTTGGCAGAAAAGTGGATTAAGGTGTCACTTTGTCCTCCAGTGTGTCACAGCCTGACACTCAGTGTATCTGCTAAGCAGCACAGCCGCAGTCCCAGACCTGCTGTACTGTACCTGTCCTCTCCAGTGTGCTCTTCCCGTAGCTCACATACTTCTTCAGCCAGTCAATGCATTCCTGGGTAAAGTACCTTTTATATCTATCTTTCCTAGTATTGTCTCTGTCCCACTTCTGTTTAGTGGGAATCGCCTGCATCACTGGAGCCACATAAGTCATGGTTTTTAAGTCCAGTGCTAAGAAGTCACTCCCATCATAGCCAAATTGTTCATGAGCACCTGTGGCCCCAGTTTCATCATCCCAGTCACAGCTGTACATCCGCTGAAATGTGTGGACACCTGAACAGAAAGAGGAGTGAATTAGCAGGCAGGTTTGATATGGTTTCATCCTCTGGGCGTCATTTTCACAGCATTTCAAACAGGCCTGTCAGCAGCTCCTCACTCTCAGCATCCTGCATGTATACTGCAGCTTTCGGGCCCTTTTAACCGCGGGACATTAAATTCACATACGTGCTGGAGAATGAGTAAAAATTGAAATCACAGCACACATACACACACCACAAAAAGCTGAGAATTTAAGTGTGTTCAGTCAGGACTGTTTATATACACTCTTGTTTTGTTTAAAAACAATTGGGCCTTCATATAAAAAAGACAAAAAGTCTCAGATTATCCTGCTGAAGCAATTTGAATCCTTATCTCACTGGATGGCGCTGCTGTCAGTGTGACTGTGGATCTGTGTGCGAATCAGACACAGGATTCCATGCACAGGTGTTACTGAGGCTCATGGTGTTTCTTCACACCTCTGTGGGGTTCAAATCTTGTATCTGCAGTATGCATATGAATTCTGCACGTTCTGTGTAAAAGCTGTACTGTGACAACCTTTCTGGGAAGCCGCCAAGCACTGGATAATCAGCACTGCGCTGGCCAGCAATAACCATACAAGGCTTCCTCACTGCTGACCTCAGGAAGTGTCAATGAGACACAGCAACCTGTGATTTCCCTAGTAGGGGAGTAGACAGTCTTTTATTGGTGAGCTTAAAGCCCAGACTGGGAAGAAGGCAGAGAGACGGAACAGGAAGCCAGGAGTGTATGTGCTCTTTCTGCAGGTGGATTGGAAAGTGCTTGGAGGACTTTCGTGTTCCATAGTTTTATTTAACCAACATTGTATATCAGAAAGCATCTTCAGACAAATCTTCCCCCAATCCTTCAGCAAATATGAGGGTCTTGCAATCTTAATTACATATGCAGGGAATCAGGGTTGGTTGATGTTTGGAGAGAGTTACACCAGTCAGTCAGGGATTATATTTTTTATTCAAACCCTGATTGCTCATATTCAAGACTGGATTAATCCAGGAACACAGATGTCTTCAAGAAGGGTCAAAGTCATCTGTATCTACTGAAGAGGCTCAGGTCCTTCAACATCTGTAGGACCATGCATGTTCTATCACTCCATGGCAGCAAGTGTTGTCTTTTATGTGACATTGTGCTGGGGCAGTAGAATGAAGGCAAATGATGCCCATAGACTGAACAAGTCGATCATGAAGGCTGCTTCTTTTCTGGGTGTCAAACCTGAGACTCTGGTGGGTGTGTTTGAGAGGAAGATGCTGAGGAAACTGCTCAGCATCATGGAGAATCCCTCCCACCCTTTGTATGCTCCCCTGTTAGGCCTTCGGAGCACACAGAGCAAAAGACCCATTGTCCCAAGGTAAAGGACTGAACGCCATAGGAAGTCTTTTCTACCTATTTAATCCATAAGAAGTTCATAAGACTGTATAATTCCTCCCCATTCTGTAGGGGGGCATTTAAAACATTTAAAAACTTACATATACACAATAACATCTTATTCTGGCAATAGTCCATTTGTTCTTTACCAGATAGATGCAGTAACAAAATGTATCTATAATGGTGTGCAATATATTTTTCTCTTTTTTCCCCCATCTGCTGCTAGCATTATTGTCATCACTGTGTCACTTTCTAATGCCTATTTGCACTGACTATCCTGCATGTAGGTCACTTTGTAAAGTTACTGTACATATTTATAATCCCTGCTGGTATTCTCATGTGATGTAACTCTGCGCAAAGTGTTTGTTTCTGTTGCACCAAGCATGTTAAAGACACAGGAATTTCCCTCAGGATTGATAGTTATTTTTTTTATTCCCATTACCTTCCTCTATATAGTGAGAGCTTGTCATGTAGGTTCCATTTGGTTATCTGACCACAGCCCAGTGTACTTAGAATTAAGTCCAAATAAAAATTCCCAGAGCAATATACTGGCAATTCAGTACTTCTCTATTGAACAATGAGATCTTCTGCTCACTGGCCTGCGGAAAATTCTCAAGATTATCAACATAATGAACATGTCCCTGTCTCACCTGTAACCGAGCGGGATGTAGCTAAGGCAACTTTGCGTGGATCTCATCTCCTACACTTCCATAGAACCTGGTCTGGGGACTGACCGTAACATAAGGAGAGAGACAGGAGGTAATGGGAGCGCAATGATTTACTCAGGTTAGTTGGTGAGAAGACATGTACTTACAATATGTACAAAAAATATACGAACAAATACGATACACACCCACCACAAGAGTTTCGAACACAGTTTAACAACACGACACAGGTAACTAAGATCACAGCAATCAACAAAACATTTAAGAGTACAAAGTTCATGAAAACAGATGAACTACAAGATAACGAAATAACAGAATTACAACGCACAAAAAAATAATCATAAAAGTAGAGCTATCAATTGCTCTCCGATGGGCTTCAAATTCAAACATTAAAACAACGTGACCCAACGTGACCCATTTTCAGGCATCATCTCCTTTGGGCTCTTCTGGGTTCCAATCAAAAGTCCACTGGTGACATCATCATCAGAGAGGAACCTATCGGTGACATCCTCTTAAGGGGGGGAACTCACCCACACAAAATAAACATGGTGCAAGGGTGAAACTGCTTCTGTTCAAAGAAAACTTTGGGTTCAGAAAAAGGTGAATCTAGAGGCTGAGGTTAACTGCTTAGAACAACAATCACAAAATGAAACAGCTTCAAACCTCCTGACTGATGCAAGGTTAAGACTCTAAACTGAACATAATTTAACAAACAAAAATATCATGAATTTGGAGACAAGTGTGGTAGTCTCCTTGCCGCTCAGTTAAGAAGCAGCAGAATGAAAGATTTATAAAAGCAGTAGTCTCAAAAAGTGATATTTCATATGACTCTCAAAACAGTTAATAGTACAGTGAACGCCCGCTATATCGCGGTTCAGCTATCGCGCCCCCGCTATACCATGGACTTTTCCCCGACGCATCAGTTCTCTGTGATGTGTGTGTGTGTGTGTATATTATATATATACACATACATACACACACACACACACACACACACACACACATACACACATATTACATATAATTATGTTACTCATATCCTTAGCCCAACATCCACTGAAACTTAAACTATAAAAAAGTTTATTTATATGGTCTTTCTATATTGCGGATTTTCACCTATTGCTGATGGGTCTGGAACATAACTTCCGCGATAGGCGGGGATCACTGTATCTTTAGGGTCTCCTGATTGTTCAGACTCAATGATGATTCATCTTACTTGGAAAAAATTTCACTTAATGTTGCCTCAGATGAGAACATAAAACCAGATTAATGTCACCATTTACTCCTGACGAAATATGGGAAGCTATTAAAATAATGACCATAGGGAAAACTCCAGGCTACCAGTTGGAATTTTACAAAAAATTCTGAACCAAAAAACATTCTATTCTTATGTCTGCATTTAACAACATTTTACAAGAAAATGCAATCTGAGTCATGCTACTATAAAATAAATCCTACAGAATGCCCCTCTTACCACAAAATTAATTTACTTAATGTAGATTACAAGATAGTAGCTAAAGCACCAGCAGACAGACTTGAACGCATGCTTCCTTATGTTATCAGACCAGACCAAACAGGATTTATTAAATCCAAATATGGTGCAAACTTTTAAATATTGTGGCATTTCTATATATTTTTTATACACACACACACACACACACACACACACACACACACACACACACACACACACACACGGTATCGGGACACCTGGCCATTACACCTACAGGAACATTAATGACATCCCATTCTAAATCCACAGGCATCAATAAGGAGTTGGTCCCCAATTGCAGCTATAATAGCTGCCACTCTTCTGGGAAGGCTGTCCACAAGATTCTGGAGTGTGTCTGTAGGAATTTTTGTCCATTCATTCAAAAGAGCATTTGTGAGGTCAGGCACTGATGTTGGACATGAAGGTCTGGCTTGCAATCTACAGTATGTTGTAGTTCATCCCAAAGGTGTTTGATGGGGTTGAGGTCAGGCCTCTGTGCAGGCCACTGACAGTCAAGTTCTTCCACACCAAACCCACCCAACCATGTCTTTATGGACATGGATGTTTATGGAGTCATGCTGGAGCAGAAAAGCACCTTCCCCAAACTGTTCCCACAAAGTTGGAAGCATAGAATTATCCAACGTCTTGGTATCCTGAAGTATTAAGAGTTCCCTTCACTGGAACCAAAGGGCCTAATGGGACCCCTAAAAAACAACCCCATGCCATTATCCCTCCCCCACCAAATTTTACAGTCGGCACAATACAGTTGGCAGGTAACGTTCAACACTTACTGACTGAAGTACAGCAGGAAACAAAACCTAGCTTTCATTGCTACAAAGAGCACCCAACACATAAAATGAGAACGTCGTCAGCTTCTCAACAATGGTGTGCATCTCATATATGTCCGTAAAATAAATCCTTAGCTATTTGACTTCCTGCCTGATTATGGTGATTTTTGTTGACAATTAAATGCATAATTTCTGTGTAAAGTGTTCTTTCCACTGAAAACAGATTTATATTCAAGCAAATATGGCAGTTCCTACTAGATACACTCACTACTGCTACCAAAAGCGGGATTCGGATTTGGCATTAAACTACTGAAAACCAAACACAGTGATCACCTTTTATAAAACCCTACAACTTCAAAATATGATTCGGTTATTTTATTGTGCATGTAAAAATTCAGTACAACCCATTTATTTTCCACAGAACTTTTTTCACAATTTTTCATTTTCCATAACTGTGGCTTTTTTGCCACATCTACGTTGTTTTTGAACAGCGACTCTTCACCATGAAGATTCTGACTTTCTTTGTTCCAGTAATCAGGCCCCTCAGACCTTGCCATCCATTCTTGACGAGGAGTCATTTTGTGGCTGTTGCTGTCATAGTGAACAAAGGGCTCCCCGTCCACCAGCCCTATAACTACGAACTCTGGGAGGTTCGGTATCTCTGACGTGCCACTGTACACATACTGCAGGGAGTGCGACACTGGGGAAAAAAAACACACATTACAGTTACAGACACTGGATCACAGTGATCACTCTACATTTAATCATCTCGAGACTGGTCTCGAGACCACTTTTACGCTGTCTTGGTCTTGTCACAGTCTCGATGGCTATGGTCTTGGTCTTGGATCCCTCGGTCCTGTCTTGGTCTCGCTGTCTTGGTCTTGCTGTCTCAGATCGACATAGTGGTCAGGAGATTTGGAGCAAAAAGTATCCATGACACACAATGTAACGTTCGATAATGCAACATTATTATTATTTTGCCTTATGTGCCCTTCAAATGCAACCAATCAATGACATACATGCATTTTGTTGTGATTCAGACATTGGCGCTCATCCAATCAAAATACACATACATATGCGCAAGATAAGTGTAGCGCCAGTTAAAAGTTAGTTAAATGTAGGGCTGCACGATTTGGGGAAAATATTGAATCGCGATTCTTCTGACAGAAATTGCGACTGCAATTTGATTTGTAATTTAATTTTTTTATGTCAAGCTTCAGTTTAATATTCAGTGTGTAGTAATTTTAAAACATGACGCAGCATGAGATACGTACATCGATCAGTATTAACTGGTCTACGTTCTAATGCAAGGATGAGAATTTAAAGATGTGATGTGTCAAGTTAAATAAAGTAATAATGAAAACAATTATAATTATAATATTAATATATTATAATAATTATATTATAATTATTATTATAATAAAAATAGCGATCTTGCAGGTAACGCTTATTACCCTCCTAATAACACTAGAACCGCCTTTTCCCACACCAATGAACAAGCAAGAACTACGGCGTATGCAGCCCTTTTGTTTGCGCTATTGTGTTGTTAGTTGCTGTTAATAACACTAATAACACTCAAAATGTAAAAGCAAGACTTTTATTTTATTACTGTTGTGTTGGAAACACTTAAATATAATAAGCACAAAAACATATGACATGGGTTTCGCGTGTTTGCTGTTTGTGGGCCTATACGCCTTCTTGGGCCACTTCTGATTGGTGAGCATGACTGGCACGCGAGAAGCACAGCACTTGTGATTGGTGAGAATGACTGTCACACAGGGAGCACGGCATGAATTTGTAAAACTATTCTCACAGCAGTTTTAAACCCTGGGTCCGACGTGCTGTATAATATATATCCTAAATCGCAATTTTTGCGACTTGCTAACCGCGTTGTTTCAAATCGTGATTTCGATTTGTAATCACATGCCACTGCAAACATCAAGATGTCAGGATCTTTTAAGCACTTGTCCTTATTCTTATTAATGCACAATTTGATGTGCAGTGTGTGCATGTCTTTATAATGTTTGATTACAGTATTTTACTTAAAATGGTGTTTGACTAAATAAATGTGACCATTGACTTTTCAATAACATCTGAATATCACGTTGTGTTGACTTAACAGGCCTAATCCATTTCAGGGAAGTTGATATCATACAGTGTCATTTGGCTAGTATTACTACAATGGGACATGATGCAATTTCAGGTTTATAATTGTGTATCTTCAATTTGATGTTACAATTTCATCTACAAATTAAATATAATTGAAACCAGTTACATATTTCCCATCCTTTAGACAGTTGTTGGTGTTAGCTGTTTTGTCAGATGACTTTGGGACCAGTCAGTACCCGTCATGTCAGTTATCAACAGCACACAAAAGTTAAGGGAGTCTTTTTTTTCGGTCTTGGTCTTGGTCTCGTCTCGACTTTGTCTTAGTCTTGACTCGGTCTGTCTTGGTCTTAGTCTTGGTCTTGTCTTGGTCTCGATACCCTCTGGTCTTGGTAGTGTCTTGTCTTGGTTTAGGCGGTCTTGACTACAAGTCTACCGGACTCGGACCCAGAAGCTGTCCCATACGGACCTGGGCCAATAGCCAAAACAAAAAGTTATGATTTAAAACCTGACGGGGCGCTTCTATTTTAACCGGCGCAGCGTTTGTTGTCTTTTCAGTAGTGGTTTAGCACTAGAACCGCCGTTTCCCATGCCAATGAACGTCAAACGCCTTTAATTTAACCGTGAAGCGTAGTTCGGCGTATGCAGTCCTTTGTCTGCGCTAATGTGCCATTAGTCTTAATAGCAGCAGTGAAGCGACCAAAAAGCCATAATGTTCCTAACAGAGTGGCTGATCTGTCCTGAAATCATACAGCTGAAAAGTTTTCAAACACAGTATGTATTATATAACATGTTGGATAAATAGACATAGTTTATTGGTGATTTCATGTTCGTGGAAGTTTCCAGTTTTTAACAACTGTATAAAGTAATGTTATCTGTTATATAAAAAACTCAGGTTTTCAGCATCTGGCATGCCACTCACGATTTCAGAATCACGCAGGAAATCTATATTATTCCATTATAAACCTAAAATAAGCTACGTCAAAATAAGACCCATATAGACATCGTTGAGTTTGGTGTGGAAGAGCTTGACTGGCCCGCACAGAGCTCTGATCTCAACACGATCGAACACCTTTCGGATGAACTAGAATGGAGATTGCGAGCCAGGCCTTCATGCCCAACATCAGTTCCTGACCTTATAAATGAATGCCTGGATGAATGAGCAAAAATTCCCACAGACACACTCCATAAACTTGTGGAAAGCCTTCCTAGAAGAGTGGCAGCTGTTACAGCTGCAAAGTGGGGACCAACTCCATATTGATGCCTATGGATTTAGGATGGGATGTCATAAAAGTTCCTGTAGGTGTAATGGCCAGGTATACTAATATCTTTGTCCATATAGTGTATGATGATTGTAGAATATACCGATACTCACATTTGATTTCTATTAGATTTTGAACTGTGGTGATATAAGAACAGTGTTTTCTGTCTGGTTTACATCTAATGATCATGCATGTGTTGCTCTCACAGTGACCGTACAGCACCAATGCCTGGGAAATAAATTTTATTAATACTTTATAACAGCTGCAGCTTCATAAACCACACTGACAGCTCCTGCTCACTAACAAAAAAACTTGTCATTTTATGCACGCACGCACGCACGCACACACACACACACACACACACACACACACATACAAATATCATAAGGCACAATTTGCTGTAACACTGTAAACTAATAATCATAAATCTAAACCACTCCATAAACCAGTGGTTACTAACAGGCAGACCGCGGGCCGGGTCCGGACCCAGAAACTGTCCCATACGGACGCAGACCGACAGCCAAAACATTTAGTTATTTAAAACCTGACGGGGCGCTTTTATTTTATCCGGCGCAGCGTTTGTAGTCTTTTTGGTAGTTGTTTAGCAGTAGAACCGCCGTTTCCCACGCCAATGAACGTCAAACGCCTTTGACCGCCAAGTAAGACGTATAGCTTGGCGTATGCAGCCCTTTGTCTGTGCTAATGTGCCTTTCATGTTAATAGCAGCAGTGAAGCTAAACAAAAAGCGTAATGTTCCTAACAGAGTGGCTGCGCTCTCCTGAAATCGTAAAGCTGAAAAGTTTTCAAATACAATATGTATTATATAACACGTTGGATAAATAGACGTAGTTCATTATTGATTTCATGTTTGTTGAAGTTTTTGCATTTTAACATATGTATAAAGTAATGTTATCTGTTATATAAATAAACTGCATAGCTAGTACATAATTCCCAATGAGACCAGCAATACTCAATAGTTCCTAATGAAATGAGAACTAATATAATAATTAGTTCACTATTACCTATTGAGTAATTAAGCATAACTCCTTAGTAGTTAATAGTACCAATTTAGGTGTTAATGAAGCACTACTCCTTTGTTGCTGCTTACTTCCTGCATATTTACCTGTTATCTACGGAAGAGTATTATAAAGTGTTACCCAAAAATGTAATCAGATCAGCTGTATATCATATACAGTACTGTTCCTCCTACAAGGCTCTGAAAATGGGCAAAAATTCAGAATGACTTTTCACTCACTCAATATGCTAGATAAGTTTTCTTCCTTGTATTTATGACATATTGGGCAATTTGTATGCAGTAACCATATGCATTATGGTAACAGGAGTGTCAGCATAATTTAAAAATTTTTTGTGTTACATGAAAATCATGGTTAACTGCCCACATTATCAAATGAGGACATGAAAATGTGCTCAATTTTGAAAATTGAGCACATTTCAAAAAATTATTCTGACAACCCTTTAACAGTAGTACATATGGTTATTACATACATGTTGCCTAATACAGGGGTCGGACAATGAAACTGCAATACCTGGTCAATAGTATTTGAGGTTTCATGCCTATATATGCACTGTCAGGTGGCCAGTCTTCACTGACTGCACATTCCATCAGTAAGACCAGAGTATGAAAGTTGAATTAGCAGAGCAATAGCACAGAAATACAAAAAATATTGCAATCCACACAATGTAATGGAGCTCAAAAGACGACATGTTGGTGCGCATCCCGCTGGCGCATCTGTGACCAATACGGCAAATCTTTGTGGTGTATTGAGAGCCACAGTATCCAGGGTAATGTCAGCATACCACCAGGAAGGACAGACTACATCCAACAGGTGTTACAGTGGACACAAGTAGGAGGATGGAATGTCCGACTACTAATCCAGATTGTATCCAAAAACATAAAACCATAGCTGCCCAACTCACTGCAGAAATAAATGAGCACCTCAACTCTCCTATTTCCATCAAAACTGATATTGAGCTTAACAGGGTCAGTATTCTTGGTCAGACTGCTGTAGCCTAACCTTTGGTCAATAGTGCCAAAGCCAAACATCAGTTACAATGGTGCCAGCAGCACAAACCTTATAGTACCATATATCTTCCTGAAATCTGGTAATTAATCTTAGTCCTCAGTAGAGGACATTATGTTTTTGCTCATATCTCTCATATTATACATTCCACTCTGTTAAGTCATGGTTTTTAAAGAGGGCAGTTGGCATCACAAGTGTGGGGGTGTGACCATGCTAACTTCCTTTTCCTGTCAAATCAAATTTTTAATCAATACTTTTTTTTCCCCTCTGGCTCTCAGGAGGATAATATA